TTTTTTTTTTCTTCCAAACATGTCATACTATATTTATATACACATTTCATTATACGTTTCTCATTGACTCTTCCTAGTTATTAAAATTATATCGGATAGAGCCATACAATAGAAGTATGTAATAATAAACAAACATCGTATATAGTTGTTATTGGCTTTTCATCCGTGAAACTAATATAAATTGATGTGAACTTGGTTTTTTTTTATTTTACAGAAGAATAACAACAATGTGAACGAAGCTTGCTATAGTTATTCATTATTTCAGATATTTTTAGTCTTTAGTTTTTGTTTTTCATTATTGGTTTTTATTAAAAATAGATGACTAATATGAATATTGAATTTGCCATATGCGACATGTCTATAGGTTAAACTGTCAGCTGAAGCAAGGATGAAAAGAAAAGAGTCATAAACATGTAAAATGATGCATGCATGTGTGTGCATATCCACAGAAAAAGAAATTTTTTGATAGGTTGTATAAATGTTATAGCGGTGAAGTAAGTTGAAAAGAATACAAATAGAAAGAGAAAGAAAAAAAATAATGCTCGCCATTTTTCTTTCTTTTTTACTTGCATAATCGTTGATTCATGAACATAAAAGAAAAAGGAAAAAAAAATTGAGGAACCTTTTTTTACTTTGATACGTTAACATTGTAAAGAACATGAGAAGGTAAGAACATGCAAAAATCGCACATTAATAACCTGATTTTTGTAATTTTATATACTTTTTATAAGGTGAATATTTTACAAAAGAAAAAACGATTATAGTTCTTCGAGTCTTTGAAAACAAATAGTAAATAACGTATTGCACAAAAGAAAACTCGTTATGATGTTTTTTTTTTCGTCGTGTTTACTCGTTACAGTTAAACATACCTTCGACGTCTTTGTTTTACGGGCCATACAGCAAAAAAATCTTTTTTTCTTCTTTGCGTTCACGAGTTCTGTTATTGGAGAAGTAAAGTTATTGATTTACAATATTCTTTTTTTAGTTACCTAAATGGACTTATTATTGATCATATTTCTCTGTCGTTAATTATCAATTGTATATCTATGTATTTATCCTAATGGTGAGATATATAACAATGAAACGTATAACACAAATCCTCGCATCGATTGTATTCGTCATTACAGTTGTCACTGTTTATCTTGCATTTGATTTTGCAATAAATAATGCTATGTCAAATAAAGTTTCTTCCAACAAACGTTCTCATCTTGAACATGATCATCAAAATGAACATAATCATCCACATGATGATATTAAAACGACAAAAAAACGTTCCACATTGTCATCAATATTATCTCATAAAAAAAAATCTAATCGAACAATAATACACCATAATGAAAATGAACATCATAATATTAATAATGAACGTCAGGCACGTAATCTTAAACGAAAAACCTTATCACCAACACTTCATGCTAAACCTGGAAATTTTCATAAAAGTAGAACAGGTGTTAAAGTGAACAAACCACGAAAAATTGTTAAAGAAGAACGAAAGCGTTTGTCAACAACAACTGCGGCAGTTCGACATAAAGATAAACATTAGCCCAATAATAAAGTACATAATTAATATTTCTTATTTGATAGAATAAATGAAATAAAAGAAAGAAAATACATATAGCAAAGACCTTTTCTTTTCTTTATTGAATGTTTAATATGAATGACAGAAAATGAAAAAGAACAATCGTAGACCCAAACCCAAGCTAGGTATTCATTCAAAACGAAACAACAGAAGATGAAGAAGAGAAAATGTTCTTATTTTATTTTATCGTCGCTAATCGTCGAGACTATCAGAGAGATTTGTAGCTTTTAATTGTGATGTTGCTCCAGCAACATTACTCTCACTGGACGATCCAGCAAATTCATCTTCAGCATGATTTGTACGTGTTTCAGCTAGTTCCCTAAAACGTTTAATAACTTCATCTATTGAAAATTCGCCATGTTGTTTATTGTCACGCGTACGAATATTAATTGTTCCATTTGCTTGTTCCGTTTGACCAACAACTAAAAACAAAAAAATAATTATAATTATAATTATAATTTTGCAATGAATCGAATATTACCGCCAATAAAATTATATTGAGCAAGTTGATTTTGACGAATTTTTTTATTTAATGTTGTACCTGAATCTAAATCACAATCAACTTGAAAACCAGCAAGCCAAAGTTTCTTTTGAACTTCATGAGCATAGGAATCTAACGATGGAAAAACAGGTACAATAGCCATTTGACGTGGTGACAACCAGAACGGCCTAAGTAGAAAATAAATTTTCTTTTTATATTAGAAGAATAATAGAAAATGTCAGATGGCAACTAAAACGAAAGTGAATTCCAAAATATTTCAATCATTTTTTGAATAAAACTATTTTAAAACGAAAGATATACTGAACTATACAATAGAGATATGCAAGATAAGCTGTTTTTGCACTCGACATCCTGACTGAGAAAAAAAATTTGCTTACTCTTACTCTATTCTGTCGAACAGAGTTGTAATCGGTTTAGTTCGATTGGATTAAAAAAAGTTTAAAAAAAAATAATAAAACCGGTAGTTTATGTGAAACAACACTGTCTGATTATTTTTATAAGAGCAAGCAAACTTATTCTCAACAAATTTTATCAGAAAAAAAAGGCATATCTATCAAACATTTTTTCAGCCGGTAAAGATCGATCGATTCAAACATTTCAACCGATCCAGTCTGGTATCGGATCCGATCGGTTATAACTCTGCTGTAAAATCGTTATCTTACCTAGCACATCTCTACTGCACAACGAAAAAGTTCAATTTACAACTTTCAATTAATAGCTTTTCAAAAATTCTTTGATCATAGATAGATTTTATATAAGAACTTCTTGTACTATAACTACTATTTGAATAAAGATAAATTCCTACCATTTTCCACCAAATGATTCCGTGAGAACTGCAAGCATACGCTCAATTGAACCTAATATAGCTCGATGAATAATAACCGGTGTTTGAAGTTCACCTTGTTCGTTTCTAAATAGTAACATTTTAAATTAAGTTTTTTCTTTTTTTTTTTTTATTCGTTTTTAATTTTTACGTTTGATATTGAAGTTGAAAACGTTGAGGTAATTGAAAATCAAGTTGAATTGTTGCACATTGATGAGCTCGTTGTAAAGCATCTCGAATAGTAATATCAATTTTTGGTCCATAAAAGGCACCATCACCTGGATCAATTCTCCATGGATAACCAAATGAATTAAGAGCTTGTTCAAGTTGACTTTCAGCTCGATTCCATGTTTCAATTTCACCCAAAAAACTTGGAGGTCGTGTTGATAATTTTAATTCAAATGTAAAACCAAATATACCATAAACATGTTTTAAAAGATCTAAACAACCTTCAATTTCATCTTTTATCTAAATATATAACAAAAATTTAAAATCAATATGAATTTTTGTTTTTTTTTATATTAATAGAAATCAATTACTTGTGATTGAGTACAAAATATATGTGCATCATCTTGTTGAAATCTTCGAACACGTGTAAGACCACTTAACGCTCCCGAAAGTTCATTTCGATGTAAAACACCAAAATCAGCCATACGTAATGGTAATTCACGCCATGAACGAAGACGTGATGAAAACATAAGACTTAATATTAAAAAAAAAAAATCAAGAAAATTATCATCAAAAGTTTCTTTTTCTTTTTATTTACCAATGTCCTGGGCAATTCATTGGTTTAAGTGCAAAGACTTCCTTTTCAATTTCTGTTTTAAACATATTATCCTATTGAAAATTAAAAAAATAAAATAAAAGTATTACTAAAATAAATTTGTCTTTTTTTTTTT